AAGGTCTTCATGGAATTTTCGCGCCATGTTTGCGTCAAAACCGTAAGCCATCGCCTGATATACATAATGACGGCCACATATGTAGAAAACTATTACGTATTGTTTTAACAATTGAATGCCATCACGATATCGATCAACTTATAACTTGTCCCGATGTTTGCATTCACAAGAAGCAACATCATCGTCTTGTTCGATTTTATATTTATTATCATTTATTATTTTTATTTGAAATATTCCCTCATACTTACAATGATAGCCAACACACCCACAGTAATCAGCAAAGTCTTCATTCTGAATTCCTCGAGTATACACAAAATGGTACAAAAATCTGTGGCACGAGGGCTTTTTATAGCGCACTGAATAACACCAAAGCAGTAGCTGCGTATTTATAAAGAATTTGATAACGCACACCCAGATATGTTGTTAGATAACAAGAATACATGTTATTTACCTTGCCTAATTCATGATACTAAAAAATAGCGTCGGCTTTACGAAAACAACATTATGGCAAAAAAGAATTATACATGTGCCTTGCGTTTTGAAACATAAATACTCTCTTATCATAAATCCGCTCTTGATTTATTTTGGTTTAGTTTACTTTTCATTATTTATATGAGACTTGCTTGAATGATAACGAGATATTATCCAGGTCACTAAATTCTGCCATAGAATACTGCAGGAATTTTAGAACTTTCAATATCCCATCAAAAATAAAAATCATTTTGTTGGAAACAAATAAATACAATGTTAAGTGCATCTTACGGAGCCATTTTTGTTAATATCTCAAAAAATACAAGTACGGACAACATCCGTCATCGAATCTAAGTTTGTTTCAATGTCAATGGAAAACAATTCAAAAGGAGCATTAACGTATTTAAAAATTTTGGGTAAAACCCCTGTTTAGGAGACCCACATCCGATGACCTTGCTGTTATATATATTATCAAGGACACCCTCCTGAGTGACAATCAAAAGGTTTTAGCCGTCGATCATTGTTTATTAAAATTAATTAACAGAAGAAATTTCATAATAGAATGTAATTTTCGGACACTGTGTACATATTTAAGGAATGAGCACATGCTATACATGATTCTTTCTGCCTGTACATGAATATATTCATCGATTACTGACCTGTAACTTCATCTGTTCTTTTAGTCCAAAAAATTTTTTTGGTAATTATGCAGAAATAGGGACCATCTCCCGATGTCAATAATTTTCACATATTATCAAAGTTCTGTAATGTTGTTCTGTAATGGTAATGTTCTGAAAGTTTTAACCCGGCTCATTGTTTATATCAAAGTTAGGAACAAATGAAATTCCATAAATTTTTTCATACAGATAATCCAAATACAGTGTATATGTACAAATGTAGGAAACAGTACATACAGGGTGTACCAAAAGTATGGGAACGGTCGAATATTCATAAACTATGCATTTTAGAAAGAAATGTTTCAGACAAAAATTATTTGTTCGAGCGGGGATATAAGATGGTGTCATTGGATTCACCTTGAGTGAACGTCCCAAAGTTTAAACGGAGTTCAACTTTGTTCTTTTTAATGGAACCCCCTATTTTTTATGGCATATTCTGTAGCTCATCTCTTCTAACTATCTCGAGAGCTTTCCAAAACACTATACATATGTTATGTTTTATTGAGTATTTTCCCAGTTATGGGGCTTGAAAGTTACAATACCGCCGGCATTAGCCAAGGTGTACTGGTGAAGGTTGCACGATCGGATTTACACTTTTTGTGCCTGTGTGTCACAGCAGAGATAAGGACACCACAGTTCGTCACTCCCGTAGTATTTTATTACTCCAAATCCTCTATGCTGTATGTGTGTGCGTGCATGTGTCTATATGTGTGTGGTTTAGGTTGAATAAGTGTTCCAAATTGGCCTCCGTCTGCGGCGTGACAATCGCCTAGCTGTAGATAAAAATTATTTAAAACATTTCGTCTCATCCCTGCCAAGATAAGGTCGATTTGGTGTATTATACGTTTCCTAAGGTCCGCAAGGTTGGCAGGTTTTGTTTCGTATACAATGTTTTTAAGATATCCCCAAAGAAATAATCGACAGGAGGAAGATCTGGTGATCTAGCAGGCCACTCTATTTGACCACGTCTTCCTATCCATCGATTTGAAAAAGTATTATTCAAAAATTAACGTACTGCTACTTTATAGTGGGCTCTTAGCGTTATCTGGGGAGAGGAAAATGTCGTAAGCATAGACTGTCAGGTAGCTCGTTGGACCAGAGCAGTCGCCCGACAAGCAAAAGGGCCGGGTTCGATTCCCCGGTCTTAGCGACTACCGCGCACCCGATATTTTTCTCTCTTCGGAACGAAATAAGACGCAGGTCCAGGACGGGAACGTCCCGCTGCCATCTGGGTACCATCGCGCCCTCCTTCTTTCATGGTCCTCCTGCACCATCTTGTTGGGACCAAATATTTTCTATGTTCCCATCAAACATATTTTCAAAAGCGGGTATGACTTTATTTTGCAATAGTTCATGATACATCGCCGCGTTCAAATTCCCATTAATGGAGAATGGTCCGACAATACCACGTTCGCAAAAACCCGCCCAAACGTTAAGTTTTTGGGGATACTGCGTGCGGATATCATACATCCAGTGAGGATTTTCATCACCCCAATATAGGCAATTATGCCGATTTATCGCTCCATTCAATTGAAAAGAAGCTTCGTCGAAAAAAATGATGTGATCGGAAAAGTTATTATTATCATCGTATCGACACATCATTTCGTCGCAGAATTCATTTCTTCGATCATAATCATCTTCCTATAGTTCCTGAGTGATGCTAATTTTCAAAGGATGCTATTTCTCTTTCACTAAAATACGATGAATGGACATTGTATTAATCTCATGCGTCTGTGCTGCCTTCCTCAAACTAGAATGAGGACTTTCGACAAATGTTTGCATCACTTTGAAACTCTTATCCAAGTTTGTCGCTAATTTTGGTCTGCCAGTGCGTTGTCGATCCTTGACAGATGTTGTTTCATCAAATCGGCTGGCCGTTATCTGGACTGTAGACTTCGAAATCGGTGTACGATCTGGATAAGTGTTGTTAAATAAAGCAGCTACTTGTTCATAGGATCTAACGCGGTTACCATGTGCTCGCATCATCAGTAAAGTAATTCTTTCTCTTTCAGATAATACCATTCTGGATGCCACTGAAATTTCAGTCAGTTACTTGATAGTGTGTCGTAATACGAAGTGCTGAATGTATCCAGGCTAAGAAAACGTTCAACTACAGGTCAAATCAGAACGATTAATGTAGCAAGATATTTATTGGAGAAGAACTATGAAAAGTATAATAACCTCGGTATTTGAATCTTCTCCTAGTCTACGGTCCACATTCGTTGAATCTTCTGTCGATTATTTTCAGAAAGAATTACTGCGAATGATGCGAGGATATGGTAACCACGTTAGATCTTTTGAATAAGTAGCTGCTTATCTCTGCTGTGACACACATACACACACACACATACACACACACACACGCATACAAAAGGTGTACATCGGATTGTTCAATCTCTACGCAGTACACCTTGGCTAATACCGGCGATATTGTAATTTTCAAACCTCATAACTGGGAAAATACTCAATAAAACGTAACTTATGTATAGTGTTTTGGAAAGCTCTCGATATGGTTTGAAGAGATGAGCTACAAGAATATGCTATGAAAAATAGGGGGTTCCATTGAAAAGGACAAAGTTGAACTCCGTATAATCTTGGAACGTTCACTCAAGGTCAATCCAATGACCCCATCTTATATCCCCCCTCGAACCAAATAATTTTTGTCTGAAACATTTCTTTCTAAAATGCATAGTTTATGAAATATTCGACCGCTTCTAGACTTTTGTTACACCCTGTATAAGCGAGAGACGGGCTTCGCCCCTCCCTTTTACCCGCTCCCCGAATAAATCCTAACCTAACTTAACTTATTACATCCTTATATGAAAAGATTTCCTTAAAACCCACAACGCCTAATTATATGCAGATATAATAAGTTAAATTGGGTTAGATGATAGGTCTTAAGAAAACTTGTTCAACAATGTCCAAAAATATATAAAGGTGCAATAAGTTAGGTTAGGTTAGGATTTGTTTGAAGGGGAGCGGGAGAAAGGCAAAGCCCTTCTCCCGTTTATATGTACTGTTTAACATTGTTTAATGTATATTGTGTCTAAAGAAAATGAGCACTATCTATAAAATTCTACATTGAAATCATGTGTTACATTTAGAAACTCATGTAAATGCATATTAACTGTATAAATGATTTCGTTTCTAAAGCAAAACCGAGAACGATTTTACCACATAGCAGAGCTGTGTCATACTGACTAAAATTGTAATCAGCTTACGAAGTAAGAATACCTTACAAAGGAATATAAGAAATCAAAGCAATACACTACGTATATAACACGTATGTATATATTACATGCACCTTCAATGAATATCTGATGATGAAAAATTATCTCCTTCTTATTAAACTGTTTCGAAAAATTACATTACGTTCGTACAACTTTTTTTTTAATAACTCTTTAATAAACAATGAGCAACGGCTAAAACTTTTGATTGTGACTCAGAAGGGTCTCCTTGATAAAATATCCAACAGACAAGGTCATCAGATGTGGGTGCCTTAAACACAAGATTTACCAAATTTCGTTTCTTCAACTTAGCTCGATTAATATTTGAAATAATAAAAAAATTTTTCGAGAGAATGCTGTCTTTTTTGAAGGGATCTATCGAATGTGTGTTACTACATTCAATATAATATCTGTTAAGTTAATATATCTGTTAGTATATCTGTTAATATATCTGTTAAGAATTTTAAAGTTGCTACGATTTCAAGCACTTGCTTTTCTTAGGAAGGACATCTAACGCTCAGGATATCGCGGGTCCTTCGCGAGAGAGAACGCATCTCGGTCGATCGCGAGAATTCAAGGATTAAAAATCGAATCGGAAGAACGAAAAAGGTATTATGAGACTCCGTTTTTGTCTATTTTGACTTCATTTATTTCGACAATTTTTCCCTTCCCACCAATTAGCTGTTGTTTATTTACAATGCATCATTGAAGTAATTAGAGATGATTCTATGAATCAACAGAATTTTATACGGTCAACTTGAAAAAGGGTCCGGTTTACGCTTTATTCCACTTCGGTTTATTCGACTTCGTCAAGGAGATACATAGTTGGAATACAGCAATTGGTAATTTTCCGTCCTTGTTCGTCACCAGTGGCGCCACTTTTAGTTACTGCAATTGAAAGAACATTGAGCAATTATGACAATTATATTTCCGAGGGTATTAATAAAATATAAATTACCGTAATCATAACACTTGTGACAGATTATTTTCGCCAATTTTCTTTTGTCGTCGTCTGAAATTAAGTCCACATATGCTTGTAAAACTGCCTCCTTTCTGAACTCGCCTTTCTCGTTACGCAACTGAAATCGATGATTTAATAAAACGTTACGTTAAATGTTATAATTACTAAAAATGGTGTCTAAATAATTACAAAATTAACAAGAATCAAAATTGATAAAATCATAAAATTAATGCGTTTGGGTATCTGAGAAAATAACTTTTTTTAGAAATTCCAACTTATGTTTTGTATATTTTGAAATATTATTCTCCTAAAACAAGCCAGATATAAACTGTAGAGATAGTTCAATTATTTAAATTCAGAATATTTTCTATATATATACGGGATGTCCGGAATCTTTTGGAAATGAAAAATTGTAAAGATTAATGAGATAAACCTAAGAAGTATAGTCAAGTATTACTTTACAAAAATTGTAATAGTTATAAAGTTATTAATGATTGATGAATGATGAAAATGATCACATCTAAAGGCTCTTTTAGTTGATAACTTGAAAATTTGCGTACTTATTCGCAAAATAGTAATTATTTTGTCCAAAATGACCTAATCTACAATTATGTGACGACTACTGTGCTCAGCGAAAGGTTCAAGGATTAGGGTTCAAAGTTCAATATACTCATGTCTATCGCTAGATTCATATATATATATATATATATATATATATACATATATATATATGTATATATATATATATATATATGTATGTATATATGTATATTTATATATAAATGTATGTAAGTATGTATTGCATATACATATGTATTTCAAATATAAGTATACGTACCCCATACATATCTACCGCGCACAAGACCGTGTCGACATTAGCCTCAGCTGTAAAGCAAAAATTAACAGATGTACTAATACAATTGGTAGATTTTTAGAACCATTTCTTTATTAAAAATAGGACGAATTAAATTGTCATCGTGCTATCCTTAAGACTAATGCAAATTATGTAAAACACGAATACAGTGTCCAAAGAATTGCAAATCAATAATTTATCAGGTTTGTCAAAATACCCGTTTAGTTTTATAAATTAACATTTACTGTGTTGAATCTAGTCATTTTAATGCTCTCTCTTTATTTAGTTACATGTTATAATAAAAACTTAATCTTGAAGCTCAGTGGCTAATGGGTCAGTTATGTTAATTGTCACATTATATGTTATTATCTATCCATTCATATATTTTTCTATCGTAAAACGATAGAACCGATTACATAGAAAATTTTTCAAATCAAACAGAACGTTCTAACTGGTTCAGTGATACAAGTGTATTATAATATAATAAAAAAGTCGAATTTTCGAAAATCTTGATGAAAAAATCGAATATCTGGACACAATTCTGGTTATTCTAAAATAATTAAATTATGATATAAATTCATCATAAAGAGGTAATTTATTTTTCATAATATTAATTTCTTAATATGATTAATTTTAATACTCACGTGGCGACTTGCCCAGTTGCTTGTTGCACTTCAAAAAGTCTTCATGGAATTTTCGCGCCATGTTTGCGTCAAAACCGTAAGACATCGCCTGATATACATAATGATGTCCAAATATATAGAAAACTGTTTCGTATTGTTTTAACAATTGAATGCCATCACGATATCGATCAACTTATAACTTGTCCCGAAGTTTGCATTCACAAGAAGCAACATCATCGTCTTGTTCGATTTTATATTCGTCATTTATTATTATTTATTTGAGATATTCCTTCATACTTACTATGATAGCCGCCAACACACCTACAATAATCAGCAAAGTCTTCATTCTGAATTCCTCGAGTATACATAAAATGGTACAAAAATCTGTGGCACGAGAGGCTTTTTATAGCGCACTGAATAGCACCAAAGCAGTAGCTGCGTATTTATAAAGAATTTGATAACGCACACCCAGATATGTTGTTAGATAACAAGAATACATGTTATTTACCTTGCCTAATTCATGATACTAAAAAATAGCGTCGGCTTTACGAAAACAACGTTATGGCAAAAAAGAATTATACATGTGCCTTGCGTTTTGAAACATAAATACTCTCTTATCATAAATCCGCTCTTGATTTATTTTGGTTTAGTTTACTTTTCATTATTTATATCAGACTTGCTTGAATGATAATGAGATATTATCCAGGTCACTACATTTTGCCATAGAATAGCGTCCGTGATTCTTTAAGATTTCATTTCTGCAGAAATTTTAGAACTTTCAATACCCATCAAAAATAAAAATCATTTTGTTGGAAACAAATAAATACAATGTTAAGTGCATCTTACGGAGGCATTTTTGTTAATATCGTCAAAAAATACAAGTATCGGACAACATCCGTCATCGAATCTAAGCTTGTTTCAATGTCAATGGAAAACAATTCAAAAGGATGCATTAACGTATTTAAAAATTTTGGGTAAAACCCCTGTTTAGGAGACCCACATCCGATGACCTTGTCTGTTATATATATTATCAAGGACACCCTCCTGAGTGATCCAAATAATTTTTGTCTGAAACATTTCTTCCTAAAATGCATAGTTTATGAAATATTCGACCGTTTCTAGACTTTTGTTACATCCTGTATAAGCGAGAGACGGGCTTCGCCCCTCCCTTTTACCCGCTCCCCGAATAAATCCTAACCTAACTTAACTTATTGCATCCTTATATGAAAAGATTTCCTTAAAACCCACAACGCCTAATTATATGCAGATATAATAAGTTAAATTGGGTTAGATGATAGATCTTAAGAAAACTTGTTCAACAATGTTCAAAATATATGAAGGTGTAATAAGTTAGGTTAGGTTAGGATTTGTTTGAGGGGTGCGGGAGAGAGGCAAAGCCCTTCTCCGGTTTATATGTATTGTTTAACATTGTTTAATGTATATTGTGTCTAAAGAAAATGGGCTCTATCTATAAAATTCCACATTGAAATCATGTGTTACATTTAGAAACTCATGTAAATGTATTTAACTGTATAAAGTATTTCATTTCTAAAGCAAAAGCGAGAACGACTTTACCACATAGCAGAGCTATGACATACTTACTAAAATTGTAATGAGCTTACGAAGTAAGAGTGCCTTACAAAGGAATATAAGAAATCAAAACATTACACTACATATATAACACGTATGTATATATTACATGCTCCTTCAATGAATATCTGATGATGAAAAATTATCTCCTTCTTATTAAACTGTTTCGAAAAATTACACTACATTCGTCAACTTTTTTTTTAATAACTCTTTAATAAACAATGAGCAACGGCTAAAACGTATCGATTGTGACTCAGGAGGGTCTCCTTGATAAAATATCTAACAGACAAGGTCATCGGAGCTAGGTCCCCTGAACAGAAGATTTACCAAATTTTGTTTCTTCAACTTCGCTCGATTAATATTTGAAATAATAAAAAAATTTTTCGAGAGAATGCTGTCTTTTTTTAAGGGATCTATCGAATGTGTGTTACTACATTCAATTTAATATGTTCCTATTAAGAATTTTAAAGTTGCTACGATTTCAAGCATTTGCACTTCTTAGGAAGGACATCTTACGCTCAGGATATCGCGGGTCCGTCGCGAGAGAGAACGCATCTCGGTCGATCATGAGAATTCAAGGATTAAAAATCGAATCGGAAGAACGAAAAAGGTATTATGAGACTCCGTTTTTGTCTATTTTGACTTCATTTATTTCGACAATTTTTCCCTTCCCACCAATTAGCTGTTGTTCATTTACAATGCATCATTGAAGTAATTAGAGATGATTCTATGAATCAACAGAATTTTATACGGTCAACTTGAAAAAGGGTCCGGTTTACGCTTTATTCCACTTCGGTTTATTCGACTTCGTCAAGGAGATACATAATTGGAAACAGCAACTGACAATTTTCCGAGCGTGTTCGTTACCAGTGGCTCCACTTTTAGTTACTGCAATTGAAAGAACATTGGAGCAATTATGACAATTATATTTCCGAGGGTATTAATAAAATATAAATTACCGTCATCATAACACTTGAGATAGATTATTTTCGCCAATTTTCTTTTGTCGTCGTCTGAAATTAAGTCCACAAGTGCTTGTAAAACTGCCTCCTTTCTACTCTCGCCTTTCTCGTTATGGAGCTGAAAGAGATGATTTAATAATACGTTACATCAAATGTTATAATTATTAGGTTAATCGGAAAGTTCCGTCCGTTTAACGACAAGTAGCTATAGCTAGAACTTTTGTCAACCTGTAATGTCTAAACGAAGCTTAATAGTTTGTTTTGACATCTGTCAATAACATTCAGTACATAAAAGTATACGTTTTCATCAATAACATTATTCTTCACTGCATCGAAAATATTGAAATTTGAGCCAAATAAGCGTCATTTGCGCAAAGTGTTAATATTTTGCTTCATTTGGAGGAAAAACTGCAGTTGAAGCTCATCGAATGCTTGTAGAAGTTTATAGTGATAAAACATGCAGAGAATGGTTTCGATGCTTTAAAATTGGTGATATTGATGTAACGGACAAAATGCGTTCTAGACAGCCAAGAGTATTCGAAGACGAAGAATTGCAAACATTGGTGGACGAAGACCCATGTCAAACGCAAAAGCGACTTACAGAAACATTAAATTGTGCTCAATCTGTCATTTCCGATCGTTGGAGAGTCTTAGGAAAGGTTTACAAGGAAGGAAAATTAGTCCCATATGAACTGAAGCCAAGAGACATTGAAAGGCGAAAAAACACCTGCGAAATTCTGCTCGCTAGGCAACAAAGAAAGGGGTTTTCACATCGTATCATCACTGGGCATGAAAAATGAATTTATTTTGACAATCCCAAACATCGAAAAACTATTTGCGATTCCGGCCAACCCTCAACATCGACGCCAAAGCGGAATATCCACGGAAAGAAGGCAATGCTCTGTATTTGGTAAGATCAGAAGAGTGTGCTGTACCATGAGCTGTTGAAAAGCAGTCAAACAGTCACAGGGGATCTCTGCAGAGGACAAATGATTCGTTTGAGCCGAGCATTGCACGAAAAACCAACGAGAATACCAACGAGACAGCATAAAGTGATTTTGCTTTATGACAACGCTCGGCCATACGTCACAAAATTTGTCAAAAAAAAAACGTTAAAAGCACTTCGCTGAGAAGTGTTACAGGGGTAACCCATGCGGCTTATTGACCAGACTGTGCCCCTTCCGACTATCACTTGTTTCGGTCGCTGGCACACGCACTTGCTAAAAAACGCTTCAATACTTATGAAAATGTCGAAAAATGGGTCTCTGACTGGATAGCCTCCGAAGGATGGATCATTCTTTCGCCGCGGAATTCGCTGACCGAAAGATGGGAAAAAGTCATCGCTAACGATGGACAATACTTTGATTGATGTACTTTCTCATTTTGTTTTTTAAATAAAGCCATACATTTTGCAAGAAAACAGACGGAACTTTCCGATTGACCTAATACTAAAAATGGTGTCTAAATAATTACAAAATTAACAAAAATCAAAATCAATAAAATCATAAAATTAATGCGTGTGTGTGTGTGTCTGATAAAATAATTTTTTCTAGAAATTCCAACTCATGTTCTGTATATTTTGAAATATTATTCTCCTAAAACAACCTAAATATAAAATGTAGAAAAAGTCCAATTATTTAAATTCAAAATATTTTCTATATATATACAGGATGTACGGGATGTTTTGTAAACGAGAAATTGTGAAGGTTAATGAGATGAAACTAAGAAGAAAAGTCAAGTAGTAATTTACAAAAATTGCAATAGTTATTAATGCAATAGCAATTAAGTTATTAATGATTGAAAATGACCACATCTAGAGGCTCTTTTAATTAATAACTTGAAAATTTGCGGTTTTTATTTACAAAATAATAATTGTTTTGTCCAAAATGGCCTAATCTACAATTGTATGACAACTATTGTGCCCAGCGACAGGTTCAAGGAACAGGGTTCAAAAATGCAATATACTCATATCTACCGCTAGATTCATATATATATATTTATATAAATGTATGTATGTATATATATATATATATATATATAATGTATGTATGTATGTATTGCATATACGTATATGTTTCAAATATAAATATATACTCGTATATACTTCAAATATGAATATACGTACCCGGACATATCTGACACGCACAAGGTCGTGTTGACATTAATCTCAGCTGTAAAGCAAAAATTAACAGATGTTCTAGATCTGCAATTGCTAGAATTTTACAATAATTTCTTTATTAAAAATAGGACGAATTAAATTGTCATTGTGCTATCATTAAGACAAAAATGCAAATTATGTAAAGTACGAATGCAGTGTCCAAAAAATAGCAACAATCAATAATTTATCAGATTTGCCAAAATATCCATTTCGTTTCATGAATTTACATTTACTGTGTTGAATCTAGTCATTTTAATGCTTTCTCTTTATTTAGTTAAATGTTATAATTAAAAGCTTAATGTTGAAGCTCAGTGGCTAATGAGTCAATTATATTAATTGTCACATTATATGTTATTTCTATCCATTCATATATTTTTCTATCGTAAAACGATAGAACCGATTACATAGAAAATTTTTCAAATCAAACAGAACGTTCTAACTGGCCCAGTGATACAAGTGCATTATAATATAATAAAAAAGTCGAATGATCGAAAATCATGATGAAAAAATCGAATATCTAGACACAATTCTGGTTATTGTAAAATAATTAAATTATGATATAAATTCATCATAAAGATGTAATTTATTTTTTATAATATGTACTTCTTAATATGATTAATTTTAATACTCACGTGGCGACTTGCCCAGTTGCTTGTTGCACTTCAGAAAGTCTTCATGGAATTTTCGCGCTATGTTTGCGTCAAAACCGTAAGCCATCGCCTGATATACATAATGACGGTCAAATATGTAGAAAACTATTTCGTATTGTTTTAACAATTGAATACCATCACGATATCGATCAACTTATAACTTGTCCCGATGTTTGCATTCACAAGAAGCAACATCATCGTCTTGTTCGATTTATATTTATTATCATTTATTATTTTTATTTGAAATATTCCCTCATACTTACAATGATAGCCGCCAACACACCCACAGTAATCAGCAAAGTCTTCATTCTGAATTCCTCGAGTAACACAAAATGGTACAAAATCTGTGGTACGATTTTATTGCGCACTGAGTGACAAAGCTGTAGCTGCGTATTTATAANTCGTTGGACCAGAGCAGTCGCCCGACAAGCAAAAGGGCCGGGTTCGATTCCCCGGTCTTAGCGACTACCGCGCACCCGATATTTTTCTCTCTTCGGAACGAAATAAGACGCAGGTCCAGGACGTGAACGTCCCGCTGCCATCTGGGTACCATCGCGCCCTCCTTCTTTCATGGTCCTCCTGCACCATCTTGTTGGAACCAAATATTTTCTATGTTCCCATCAAACATATTTTCAAAAGCGGGTATGACTTTATTTTGCAATAGCTCATGATAGATCGCCGCGTTCAAATTCCCATTAATGGAGAATGGTCCGACAATACCACGTTCGCAAAAACCCGCCCAAACGTTAAGTTTTTGGGGATACTGCGTGCGGATATCATACATCCAGTGAGGATTTTCATCACCCCAATATAGGCAATTATGCCGATTTATCGCTCCATTCAATTGAAAAGAAGCTTCGTCGAAAAAAATGATGTGATCGGAAAAGTTATTATTATCATCGTATCGACACATCATTTCGTCGCAGAATTCATTTCTTCGATCAAATCATCTTCCTATAGTTCCTGAGTGATGCTAATTTTCAAAGGATGCTATTTCTCTTTCACTAAAATACGATGAATGGACATTGTATTAATCTCATGCGTCTGTGCTGCCTTCCTCAAACTAGAATGAGGACTTTCGACAAATGTTTGCATCACTTTGAAACTCTTATCCAAGTTTGTCGCTAATTTTGGTCTGCCAGTGCGTTGTCGATCCTTGACAGATGTTGTTTCATCAAATCGGCTGGCCGTTATCTGGACTGTAGACTTCGAAATCGGTGTACGATCTGGATAAGTGTTGTTAAATAAAGCAGCTACTTGTTCATAGGATCTAACGCGGTTACCATGTGCTCGCATCATCAGTAAAGTAATTCTTCCTCTTTCAGATAATACCATTCTGGATGCCACTGAAATTTCAGTCAGTTACTTGATAGTGTGTCGTAATACGAAGTGCTGAATGTATCCAGGCTAAGAAAACGTTCAACTACAGGTCAAATCAGAACGATTAATGTAGCAAGATATTTATTGGAGAAGAACTATGAAAAGTATAATAACCTCGGTATTTGAATCTTCTCCTAGTCTACGGTCCACATTCGTTGAATCTTCTGTCGATTATTTTCAGAAAGAATTACTGCGAATGATGCGAGGATATGGTAACACGTTAGATCTTTTGAATAAGTAGCTGCTTATCTCTGCTGTGACACACATACACACACACACATACACACACACACACGCATACAAAAGGTGTACATCGGATTGTTCAATCTCTACGCAGTACACCTTGGCTAATACCGGCGATATTGTAATTTTCAAACCTCATAACTGGGAAAATACTCAATAAAACGTAACTTATGTATAGTGTTTTGGAAAGCTCTCGATATGGTTTGAAGAGATGAGCTACAAGAATATGCTATGAAAAATAGGGGGTTCCATTGAAAAGGACAAAGTTGAACTCCGTATAATCTTGGAACGTTCACTCAAGGTCAATCCAATGACCCCATCTTATATCCCCCCTCGAACCAAATAATTTTTGTCTGAAACATTTCTTTCTAAAATGCATAGTTTATGAAATATTCGACCGCTTCTAGACTTTTGTTACACCCTGTATAAGCGAGAGACGGGCTTCGCCCCTCCCTTTTACCCGCTCCCCGAATAAATCCTAACCTAACTTAACTTATTACATCCTTATATGAAAAGATTTCCTTAAAACCCACAACGCCTAATTATATGCAGATATAATAAGTTAAATTGGGTTAGATGATAGGTCTTAAGAAAACTTGTTCAACAATGTCCAAAAATATATAAAGGTGCAATAAGTTAGGTTAGGTTAGGATTTGTTTGAAGGGGAGCGGGAGAAAGGCAAAGCCCTTCTCCCGTTTATATGTACTGTTTAA